ATTTTTTGTAAATTTCCTACCGTAAATATATCAAAGCTTAATTTTTGATTAGTAATATGCAATGCTACGAACTTCATTTGGACAACTTTAAAGGCAATTTTCTCATTATTTTGATTTTTTTGCACCCTCAGATTCCAGATTTTCTAGTAGTTGTATCTCGGCCAAATATTGTTCTATCCTAACAAACCATACATAAATGGAAAGCTTATTTATTCAGCTTTCAGATGATGTATAAATCTCAATTTCAGAAAAAAAATACCATTATGACTGGTTTTGTGGTCCATGGTCAGATATGTTAGATATCTATACAAAAACAACAGGTTATTTCAACATAAGCACAACTTACTTGCCAAAATATATTGAATGTTGATTTAAAAAAATAAAATAAAATAAAATTATCACTGCTAAATTGTCCAGAGGTTAACTAAATGTATTCCTCTCACGTCTAATTTATTCATATTGTTTTAAACACTTTGATACAGTAGCTCTACATTTTCTATGGCTGAATGGGCTATAGCAGCATGTTCTATGGATCATTGAGCAAAACCCTGGGGAGAGCATGTTCCACACCTCAAAACTCAACTCAAGCACTCTCACTCTCTCAGGAAGTAAAAGGTCTTGGGGGAATAAACCACTAAGTTAGATCATTTAAACTCTCTCTCTCCATAGTGGGCAACAATAGACTTTGATGGATTCTGAGGAGTGATGCCTGAGCATCTCTGAATGTATTGTCTGTGTAGTAAATTCTCCATGGACCATCACTAGGTTACATGGCAGCCACAGACTGGCTAACTGTGATTTTGCCAAGCTGGATGTGTCAGGTTTCAGATTTACACAGCGCTTTTCACAATACAGATCATTTCTAAGCATCTTTACAGATCGGGTTGCTGTATTACTTATCATGATATACAATTATCTCAATTGGTGCACAATTTTTTTTTTATTATTGACCAGCTTCTACTAGAAAGTTTAGTCTTTCCAACAGAAAATTGCCTAAATTCATTAGTCTCCACTGAACAAGCCATATGAATATGGAAAGGAACAGAAAATTCAAATTTGTTGTTAGATTCAAGAGATAAAACCTTGGAAGAACCCAGGCTACACTGGGGAGCCAGTTCTGCTCTGGCTATACAGTCTATATATATCAACGTTAGTTAGCTGTGTTACTGGACTGTAAGAATTAACTGTCTTTGAGGTTTTGTGCTGTTAAATGTGAAAAACTGAAGGGGTGAGCAGACAATACACTTCCAGGATCAGAAAAAAGAAAAGAAAAAAAAAAGTTGATCCAGGAACACGTTCTACTTGGTAAAATCACAATCATTGCCTCCTACAAGTTCTTCGCCAACATCTCCAGCAAAAGCCTACACTGAAAAAAATGATTCGTTGTCTGAACAACCATTACTTATGCACTGAGAAACAATCTGAAAAATACCAAGTGGTGTTAAATAAAGACACATTTGCTATGTGTGTGTGTTTTTTTTTTAAGGATACTCATGGGAACAAGGAGGAACTGGAACAGCTCACACTGAAGATCATCACAAAAGGTGGCTCAACAGATGATCCATTACAGACTGGGATAGTGCTGGAAGGCATGGATTGGCAGGTGTTGCGAAGGATTGTGTTTTTCTGCTTGGCCTAATTTATGCAATTAATCCTAGTTACCCCAAAGAGCTCAGGTACTCATTTGAATTTTTTCAGAAGATTCTACTGGAACAAGACAGTGGCAAACTTTTTAACTCAATTTTTCAAGGGTGAAAAATCAAGGAAGTGACATGTTGGAAGTGAACTTCCATTTGTCGATTTGTCACATTTTGGTGTACATTCATGATGTGTGGTTTCAGGCTGTCAAAAAATAAACTGAAATGCTTTATTTTGTGTGATTTGCGTGTTTAATTTATTTAAGATATTGACTGTACTGGAGCAGTGCAGTAAGCAGACCAATAGCTGAAGATCTAAAATAAGTTAAAATGTTAAGTTGGTTTAGCTCAATTTATTTTTTTTATTCAAATGTTAAGTAAACACAACTTGCAATTACTTAGTAGATTCTATGGTGTTACATATTTTTTTAAGTAAAGAATGTTGGTTTAACTCAATTATATTTTTTATGTAGATGAGCTTAAATGTTAAGTTAGCACAACTTGAAATTACTTAGTAGATGATGTTGCATGTTTTAAGTAAAGAATGTTGAGTGAACTCAAATATTTAAGTTCATATAACAAAGATTATCTTGTTTATTTTAAGTAAAATTGTTCCAAGTTGGGTTTACTTAAAAAGTGTGATGCAAAAATGGTGCATACATATTTTAAGTAAATCCAACACATCATTTTTACCAGTGTAGTATTGCCTAGCAATTTTTTTTTTTGCCAGCCTCTTTCTGTTGAGAAGAACCAAAAACTTTAAGCAAGCCATTTCACTTGGTGGGCATCTCAGTAACACCCCTGCGCAGATATTTCCTATGTAGGTGCAGTTATTTGAGTCGTTAAAGGTGAAAGAGCAAAATATCCAACAAACAGGTTGTCATGATGACATTTCAACATGTTAAATGACCCAAAATTCGTACACCAGTAGTATCACAAATTTCTGAAATCACATTAAAAACTATTTTTAAAGGCTGGTCTAGGTAAAAAACATGCACTTAATAAAGTGAAACAATAGCCTGAATTAAAATATAAGACTGGACTTCCATTTCTACATCTATGAGCAGTGTGAATTCTCCCAGTCATTTTTTCCCCTTAACTATCTCTGGAGGAACAAAGGGTCTCTTGTGCAAATACAATACCCAGCATTTGTTTTTGAGGTAAGAACCAGTCTCTGAGAGTCATACCATTCATCTAAAATCTCTTTGAAAAGGTATGCTAGTGGGACTGTATTCTTCAGGGAATAGAAAGCACATGGTGGAGGAGTTGTTTCACACCAAACATTTTGTTCTTCAAGTTGATGATAAACAATTGGTTGGAATTTAAAAAGTGAATTGCATCTTAGAGACATAAACGTCCGATAGCTTTTCGACAGTCATAACATAGTTTTTATGTTCCTGATTAAATAAAATAAAAATTAAATGATTAAATACAGGTCATGTTATTCTATCATAAGCGTAGGCTTTTACTCTCTCAGTTCTACATTTTTAGCAAAATGAACTTCCAGCAGTGAAGTAGCACTCCATGACATCATAGACCAAGCCATCAGTGTTCCATGTGGTGCTTTGACCTGAGCTATAAATAGCAAGAGTTCATGAGTATCACTCAGTAAAGTTCAGATTGAATAGTCTTGATTCTGCGTAGCAAAGCATGCTAAATTCATGAGCTCTAATGCACTGGTTTCGATCACACGCGTGACTCATTTTTAATGCACTCAGAGAATGAGAGCAGGAGGAGGAGGAGGACGAGGAGTGGGCAGCTCAGTGTAGTTTTAGTATACTTAATGATTTAGCTGAAGAATTTAATTTAAGGCATGACATAATTTAAGGGACACTACCTAAAGGCAGCAGAAGAGGATGTTGGCAAAAGTAAGTCACTTTATGCCATGTTTTTGTTTTAAAGGGGTCATATGATGCTATTTTAAAGATCATTATTTTGTGTATTTGGTGTAACAGAATATGTTGAAATGCGTTAATGTAAAAAAACCCCATTATTTTTCAAATACTGTACATTATTGTAGGTCCTCTATGCTCCGCCTCTCTCAAACACGTCGTTTTCAACAAAGTCTGCTCTGATTGGCCAGCTGACCCAGTGCATATTTTGTGGGCTAATGCTGCTGTACTGTCACAGTGTTGCAACATAATATGCTTTGTTGTCTAAAATGTTTGGTTTTCAAAAAAACGTTATGATGTTAGTTAATATTGTATTGTCAATTGTTAATTTTACTAATGCTGTTGTATTCATGCCATTGCTCCATTGTTTCTTGATGGTAATTCTAGCAGTGACATTAATTTCTCTACTTAATGTAAGCAACTCTCACTAGGTAATATCTACCAATCTCACTCAATGCCACCAGTGTTTGCCATGTCTTTTACCCCAAGGTTTATGTGAAGTTTGCTTTTGTTTTGTTTTTTCTGGATGTGCATGCAATGTCTATAACTTACGATGTTGCTAGACAAGGTGCTGTGGATAGCTGGTATGTGTTTCAGAGTCCGAGATCCTCAATACCACTGCACAGGTAGAGAGAGCCACTGCAAAAATAAGAAAGAAAATCAGTTTTTAAAATAATCGACCAAGGCCATATGTGTAATAATAGTAATATAGTATTCCTAATTGGGTAATTCTTTAAGACAGTGGTTCTCCACTGCAGTTTTGGTGATCCACCGCTCTGCACATTTTGTATGTCTCTCTTATTTGACACTCTCAGTTCAGTTCATGAGGCTGAATCAGGTGTGCCAAATAAGGAAGACATACAAAACGTGCAGAGCGGTGGGTCCCCAGGACTGGAGTTGAGAAGCACTGCTTTGAGAGATATCATGCGAAAATGATGGATGTAAAAACAGACTTATTTAACAAGTTACATCAATCAGACCACAGAAATTGAATTTGTCCTAATCACATAAGCTTGTGTGCTGAAGAACACCCATGAGCCACTTATTGACACTGATGGAAACTGACCTTTGATGAACTTTGGCATATATATGTAAGGAATAAGGTATGATAAGCTGTGCTGTATTGTGAATACAGTCATGGCTAAAGGACGCTGTTAACCACACACACACACACACACACACACACACACACACACACACACACACATATCTGCTTATCTCTCTGCATGAGAAAACATTTCTGTCTTTTAGTTTAAACCAGAACGGTTCACAGCGCAGCACGAGTCTTCCTAAGAAACACCATTAAATGTGTAACTCAATGAATACACAATACCATACCTGAAACAGAAAACTTTGAAATAATATATGCACTTCAGCAACCGTGGGCTTTCACAAACACACACACACACACACACACACACACACACATTTAGTAGGAGAAAAATAAATATTATACAAATCAGTTGAAATACATTTCTTTTAAATTTCTTCTTGACCGGTTATTTGCTGAAGTCAAGTAGGGTTGAACCCGGTCAGTACCTCAAAGGAAGACCATCTAGAAAAGCTAAGGTAGCTGCTGAAAGAGGTATTACCTCAAACACTTTAAAGGTGACCTATTATGCCCCTTTCTACAATATGTAATATAAATCTCAGGTGTGCCCAGAATGTGTCTGTGAAGTTTCAGCTCAAAATACCTCACGGACCATTTATTATATCATTTTGAAAATGCCTATTTTGAGTGGAAGCTGAAACACGCTGTTTTTGTGCCTGTATCTTTAAATGTAAACGAGCTGATGCTCCCCGCCCCCAGAATAGGGCTGTGTCTTTACAGCTCGTACATCAGATACTCTGAAAAAAAAAAAAAAAAACCTGTTTTGATTATTATGTCTATCACGCTAAAATCATGCGTTTTAAAGCCACATTAGTTTAAACTTCTGATTTAGTGTTTTCTGAGCGCACACATCCGAAGGACACGCACAGAAAGCAGCCGTCACACGGCATGTGAGTACTAAACTAAGTTCTCTTCATGTCTTCTTGCGCTTAAACTGTCAAATACACAAAAGTTTATGTTAAAAGCACATGCTAGAACTGGTACACCGTTGTCGCTTGCGAAAACAAGAATGGCGGTGATATTATAAAGGGGCGGTGATATTATAGTAAGATCCCTTTGCCACGTCACAAAGGCAGCGAAATCTGACACGCTCATTTTTTCCAGACGCTTGCAGAAAAAGGCTTACCAAAACAAAGTTACTAGGTTAATCTTTTTCACGTTTTCTGGGTTGGTAGATGCACCGCAGACCCGATTATAGCACTTAAAACCTGGAAAAGTCAGCTTTTCATGATATGTCACCTTTAATTTAATAACTCAAGTTTTACATTACAAGAACTTTAGATTGTTATTTTGTAATACACAAGCATGTTAACTGCACTTAATATGAAATATTGAGTAAGCTAGCTCACAATTTACAAGTTGATTGCACTGACCACAGTCTTGGGATTCACGACTCAAGCAGATAATGAGAATTAGGGCCGCAGCAACTAATCGATAAAATCGATGATGAACATAAAAAAATAAAATAAAAATGATTACCCATTAATCGTCTCATGTCACTTTACAGCAGTGAATAACACATTTCCAGAGGTGGGTAGTAACGAAGTACATTTGCATTTACATGAATAACTTTTTTGGAAAATTTGTACTTTTAAGAGTAGATTTAAAGGTGGGTACTTTTACTTAAACTTGAGTGCATTTCTAACAAAACAACTGTACTTTTACTTTGATACACTGGGCATTACTTAATTTGAATGCATAAGAAACATGTAGTTTATTCCAAGTGTGATGTCTCTTTTTTTGAAGAGGGGTATGAGCGATGCCACATTCGCGAATGAATCATGTTGCATCCCAATTTGCCTACTTATACTACACCCTTAAAGTATGTACTCTTTTGGTGAAGAGTGTGTAGTAGAAGAGTAGGCAAGCTTTGGGACAAACTATCATGTTATACAATTGCGCCTTTATCGGATGCTCTGTCGCATAGTAACACGCACCCTGTCACTGTAAGCTGACCTGCCAATCATCTTATCACAGTTTACATCCTCCACATTTCATTTAATTTAACTTCCTACCGTATTGGAGAGAAAAAAACGTAGCATGTTGATCTGCCAGCCGTGGGTCTTTATGCAGAGAACTCTGCTCATATTTTCTGCATAATGATGCATTTAAAAGTTAATGGCCAAACCAGGGCCTGCCCAAGCCTTTATGGGGCCATAAGCAGAATTTTACATGGGGGCCCTCGACTGATGGCCCCCCATACGACTGATTATTGTCAATGCTTGATTATTTGCACACTATGAATCTAACACACCCATTATCAATTTAAGTTGTTGTAGCTGTGTTGCTTACATTTCCAATGTCTGCCTGGCATGTTTTTGCCCTTCTATGATTTTTAATTGTAACAGTAGGAAACCCACAAGAGTGGTCAGGTGTTAATTTGCACTTTAACATTCAAAGTCTTACAGTACTAAGTGGCATACTTAATGTGTTGTACTGAAAAGTAGCTAAATAATCCAGCCAGTGGCATAGGCAGAATTTTATTTTTGGGCAGGCCTGGGCAAAAGTGAGCGGGCACTATAACTAACGGACGGAGTTGGACTCATTATTCAGGTAATTTCAATGTTCTTTTCTTTGATCCTATTGAAAAATAAACTGTAGAACACAGTGGAAGACACGCATAGTAAAACTACCACGTCACCGTCACCGTCACGAATGTGCCCATTGTCGACATAACCTAAAATCATTCTAACGGACGGAGTTGGACTCAATATTCAGGTAATTTCAATGTTCTTTTCTTTGATCCTATTGAAAAATAAACTGTAGAACACAGTGGAAGACACGCATAGTAAAACTACCACGTCACCGTCACGAATGTGCCCATTGTCGACATAACCTAAAATAATTCACAATAGCCCCAATCCCTAAAAACTGTTGCAGACTACAGTAGCTACAACCTGTCCACATACAAAACCTGAGTATCAGAACGAAAATGAAATGCGGCTTCATTCCGAAACATAAGTCATTTGAAATGTTATTTGTATATTTTTTTATTTTCATTTCATCATTCTACATAAATGTAGCCTATTCAAGGTATTTCCTCATCATATTTCCTCAAATAGGCTATATTATATATAGCTAAAGTGTATAAACTTATTTAATTCAGAAATGTCATGTTTGTGATTTCTTATTTGTTAATTTGTTATTTAAATTAATAGACCTTCTTATTTGGAAACAGGTGCAGCAGTGGTGGACGAAGTACACAAAGTTAGCATCAGCTAACAATATTTACTTATTTTCAGTATGGTTATGATGAATAAACATTCATATCTGTCTACTCGGCTAGTTAATCCAAACAATATAATAATGTATACTGTTGATAAACAATATAAAATCAGATGTCACATAGGGCTAAATGCGTAGCATTTGAATAAAACTGTTAACGTTACGGCAGCGGGGAATATGAACGTGCATGAGTTATTTTATTTAGTCTGTGTTATTTTAATGTTTCGGGTTTTTT